TACCACCCCTTCCCCGGGGCGTAGTTTTCAGACATACGTCACAAGATTGACAGTAACGTTTTACATCAGCATGGAGGTTGGGCCAAACAAACTGCGACATAATACGATCTAACGTTTTCTGGTGTCCCAAATGTCCTCCCATAAACGAGTCATGCGCAACTTTCATAACTTGTTGTCTATGTTTTTCAGGGACTACAAATTGACTTGTTTCTTGGCCAAAATTGACTCGAGGAGATTTATAATAACGATATAACATTTTGTCATTCATTCTAAATTGAACTGTAGCGAGTCCACCCTTTCCATTCCGTTAATTTGGCCCGACTTGCATAGTTTAAAAATTCTAACGTTCTATCTTTCTGTTGGGCAGCTTAAAGCGTATCAGTATTAATTTGATTATCAAATTCATCAGTTTTAGCTATGACGAGAGGGCTTCGTTTCCGCTTTTGAGCCAAAATCTGGGCACGAGTTTCTACTGCACCAGCCTCGATTATACGGGAGGTCGATTCACGGGGGGTATCATCCGGGCCCATTTATTTAGACTGATTAATATTTTCTTGTGGCAACGAGTAACAAAGGCGAGTCGAGCCTCTTTCAGTTGTAAACGAGTTAACAACTGGTATCATTTGATCTACACTCTTTGAACGGTGAGGGCGTTCCGTATCTTTCTGCGTGTTCTTCAGGTCAGGAGGCCTTCTGACCCTTGAGGCGCGATGGAGGCAGATTTTGGATGTCTACATTCTTTTGGGAAGTGTCGGAGTCGTTTTCACCGGCAAAAGCTTCTTTGATGACATCCGTCTCAATGGCCACGTTGTTATTGTAGTCCACTGCGTCGTTTTCACAGGTAGATTTATTTAATATTGGAATTGCACCAGTGTCATTAGTTTTTTTTCCTTGGAATCGCGCCAAGTTGAGTTGAAATCCTCGAAAGTACACAAAGTCAATGGTAGCAATCGAATAAGTTCGTAACGCACTTATCTGGCTTGTGATTGAGAGAGTTCAAACTTCGGTGTTTACTTCATAGGCGCCGCCATCTTGTTTCACATAGGTCTCGCGTTTAGCGTCAGTTCAATTAAGTTCGGTATGAGTACAGATCGGAAAACGCAATTTTTCAATGGTTACTAAATTACGATCAAGTCAAGACGCTTTCCATAGCGGTACCAAATGTCTTCTGTTGACTGGACGAAAACATGTAGCTCATATTCAAAGCTATCGAACACTAATACTTCGTATCATGGAGTGGCTCAATCATCACATGTGCTCAGTCGACATTTGTAGAAAGATCGACTCTCTAATTTAACTAAAAAAAATACATCATAAAAGGGGCAACACTTTCATGAAATGACCATAATAAATCACAATTAACACATCAGAACTTAATTATTCTGAACTTAACACATAATTAATAAAACAACATTTTCAGTGAATCGTAGGACTTTCATTGAGCCTCACAAGCATCATTTGCAAAACTACATACCCCAAAGTAAAAACTGACCCAAACTGACCATTAAGGGCACAGCCCCGTTATAATAAATAAAAGAACATCTCACATTATGATGGTATCATATGGAAATACTTTAAATTGAACAGTCGTATAACCGAAAATCTGACAACATGCACCGTAATTCAGATATCTCAATCTATAAGGTCGAACATTATATAAGCGCCCAGTTGAAAAGCACAGATATGTTGTATGAGCCAGCGTATATTCATTCGTGTCATTGATTCAATATAATAGAAATCATACGACATGTTATGAGTACACATGTGTATAAAGTCATAACACAGGATGATTAGAGTCGTGGAATCAAGTCAGGGTCAACAACAGAACATATAGTGGAGTCAATCAAAGGAGCTTTATGATTGGTAGAGAAGTAATGAGCGGGATTCAGTAACACGTTTAACACGTATTTTCATAACACTTTTTGCCTGAGCATACAGTTTGTGAACAGGATAACATAAGACAACTGGCAATATTACATTTTTGATTCTAATATATATTCATGAAGTTGAAAATCTTGCGGGTCTACTGTGAAATTGTTCAAGGTATTAAATTCCGTCGACTGCTTCCCCAGGTGCTCTGGTGAATGTTCAATTTTCTGATTTGTTTGTTTGAATTTAACGAAAATCGACAAAAAACATCGACTAGCATATGTTACAGAATCATGGCAAACAAATATTGCATTGCATTATTAGTACAATCAAAAATATGTCATTCACTGTAATACATACATAATACACACGTAAGTATACGTATTACATATGTATTGATTGACGCTCCCTATAGTTGAGATCCCGTTAGGTTTTTCCGTTTGTTTTTGAGATAGAGGACGCTATGACATAGTGACTGATTTTCCTGTATTCAAATGAAGTTTCTTGACAGCTGTCTTGCGGATTATGGACAATCAAAATAGTTCTATGACTTGTTAATGAAAGCCATTTATAATGTGTCTCACACAATAATACTTATGGCGACAGGTCCATCATGGCGTTTTCGTACTGTGCCACTTGCGTGAAAACAATTGTGGTTTCATTGTAGCTAGGTTTGAATAATATTTAATATTATTTATATGAGCTCTGACGAGACACTGTCATACTGACTGAGAAGTAAAATAACCTGTACTAATCTTTTGAAATCTGATATACAGTGTGAAATACATTGAGCAGCATTTACCATGTATGTTGGAACATGCCAGACAGTTATTAGTATAACAGTTATTATTACAATTAATATTAAACACCAGTCACCGAAACGCTATGAGCTACAGCGTGCCGTAATTTTGCGGAATTTGACAGGGTATTTTCATCCTATCATATACGAAACTGCGAAAACAAATATGGGATGAATCATGGCTGCCGTCAGGGTTTGGCGCGAAACAAAGAAGTGAGTTGATTCTGTTCTAAAGTTGTCTGATTTCGGCATTCCCATGATGTGTCTCAGAAGGAAAAGATGTATAATAATGAGTTTATTACGGGGATACCTCAAAATATGCACTCAGGCAGTACGCCGTCGCATTGACCCGCTGAGCGTCGGTCGATACTTCCGCTATACTGTCTTTGTGCGTACTTTGAGGTATCCTCGTAATACCCTTATATTATCGTGGCAAATACATAATAGAAGAGGCCTAATATAGAGAAATATATACAAGATTAATAGAGTGATATATTTAGCATTTTGAAAGGTGGAATCTTAGATTATCTGTCAATCATATTTGCCCCTGTATCATATTTGGTGTGCAAGGACGCATGCTTGTTGTATAAACGCTAAGTATCTAACTTGACCCAACGGACGCACTTTCAATCCAATCAGAGTGTAATTCCTGCTAGTGTAGCTAGGTGAGCTGCAATTATTTTGCTTTTCTATGGTTGCTCGACCTAAAAAAAAAAACGATATAATCTGCATTATCAAAGCCGTGGCTGTGTGACGGAAACGTATATTCGTACTTCTGAACCTAAACCGATATTGGACATCAGCAGATAATCTAATATAACTATTGCCAAAACCAAACATTGTGCGAAACATTGGTACTGAATAATCAACACCCTCGCAAACCTCCTGTCAGTGGTCCTTGTTCGCTGATCTCAGTTGTTTTTCATTACTAATTTTGCTTACTGTACACAATGCACTTCCCATTTGCATCTGTAGCTCCAATTAGAAAGGTCTTAACTTTAAGATATAATACTTCAACACATTCAAATGCTTCGAACATGTTATCATATTAACTGTGTACTTAAATAGGTCTTGGATTTATGAGGGAATTTGTAATTTAGGTGGTTACATTAAGGGCTTGGGAAAGGTTGTATCATCTTAAACAATTGTTTGATAATATAATTATAAACAGGCTTAATTATTATTCAGAGATTTGCATAACATTCGATGACAATGATGAGACGATTACATGTACAATTTAGCTTTGCGTCACTTCTATAGAATAAGTCAATCCATTAAAAGAGCTGATGTTTCCCCTTTACTGTCAGTATCTCACGATTGGAACACACTTTTGTTTATTGTTTAAAGCGGGTGATTTGTCGCCTGTGTATACGTCAGATGACCATAGCCTGTCGTTTTTTAGCGAATTTAATCATCGTCGCTTGGGACTCAATTCCTGCACGTGCACAGGTGACGACCACTGCGCTTTATTATTAGCTTGCTGTCTACTCTGTATGAACATATGTAGCGTTGTTTTCAATAATGAACGACTGTTCGAAAAAACAGAAAATATCAAAGACCTTTTGCCCTAAATAATAATTAATAATTCACTTGTTGAAGATTGGCACATACATTTGTCAACATGTTACTATTACCTTCCTGTCTAGCCTGTTGAATCATGTCTGGCATTTTTCTTATCGGAATCGAGATATCTATTTACAAGAGTAATAATTTACTAACGAAGTATGTTGGAAGCACTGATAATGCACTACTGTTTCCAGACACAACATGTCAAAAATCACTATAGATACAATACCAGACTTTGAGGGTTCGACAATGGCGACACTGACTGACTGACTTATTGAACTGGTCACAGTGATGTCTCACAGGGGAGTGACAGCAAGCAATAAACTAGGTTCTTACCGAGGGGCAAATCTTGCAATGAGCCAATTTGAATACTGAATAGTGAGTCGTCAGCACCAGAGAAGAAAAATCTATATTCGGGTATAGATGAAACTAAACATGTCTTAGTGCATATTGAAATCAATAAATCAATAGAATACCAATACCATAATAATAATTTTGCGCACAAGTTATGGTGACCTCTACACTAACCTGTATAAATATACAGCAATTCATTTAGTTATACAATATCAGCTCTAGTCATCAATACATAAATTGCTCTTGTTACAAGTACAGCAGCACAGTGTTCTTTCACTATAACTAGTGTTCATAGTTAATGCAATGGTAGACATGTCACATCAATGTGTATCACATTGATGGTAGAACAATCCAATGCATGTCAACGTCCTATACAAATTACAGTAGTCCTAATGATCACTCAGTTTTATACCAGGTAGTCTTCAAATTGTCGTCCGTCACCTAGGTAGTCAAGCATACCGGATTTTAAGTTGCTCACTGGCTGGTTATTTGTCATTAGTCTAAGGGCTGCAAGAGGAAATCAACAAACATGGCTAGAAGTAACATATTGATGGCTATACACAAACGCTGATATTTCTCATTTGTAATGAACATCGGAAAGATAATTACACAGTTATAATACGCACATATGTTGGTGGAAACTTCGCAATATGGAAAACTATCTTGTGTAACAGATTACAAAAATAATTTATATAGTGCTACATGGTTACAATACATGTGACATTTCTTTACGTTCCATAATTCGCAGACAAGAGTCGTATTCGGCAACATTTTTACTAAATTTACATGAAATAAAAAAGGTATAATTCTAGAAGTCGTACGAACACTTTATGCTTAATTTTTAATATTCTGCTAATTTATTCATGACGTAGCAGTTTCTCTGTTGATGAACAACATCCGTTCTTCATTATTTTCATATTTTGAATTTTATGTTTATAATAAATTCGAACAAGTTACTATTTCATGTATACATTTTAGACAATGCTCACCAAATCAAAAACAACTCCCCAAGTCCAGGGGTTTTGCCCCTAAAACAAAAAGAAATACATGGTGAATAGAGCAGCGTAAATACAAACAGAATAACAAAAAATGACCTTTCTGACCATTTACTGACTGCGTTAACGCATTTGAAATACAGGGTCGTGTACAATTTGGGTAATTTTCCACGTTTTCATTCCGGTTTTTGTACAATTTGGATTGTAATGTGCCCACTGAAAACACAGTTGTGAAATAAACCGATTTTGTGACTGGTCATACTACCTGTAACTATGGATATTTGGCGTTCAGCGGTACTTGGGTCGACCAAAATTTGAGACACGGCGGGACGTGGTGTATCATGTACGGCGACCGGCACGGCAACCTCAGTTCCAACATCTGACCTGGATACCTTCGGTATAACAACAGATTTGAGACAGTATGACTGACAAGTTTTGTCGTTGTTCTGTGGTATGTTTTCTGGTGTAAGATCGGATTCTCTCATCGTTTTTGTGACACGTACATAATACGCATTGTCTCAACTCTGGCTAGCTATCGACATTAGATTCATCATCTCCAATAGTGGAGAATCACAATACCATATATCGTCGTAGAATTCTGCGTTGTCCCGTGTTCTTTGAAACAGATGGCAATTACCCGGGTGCAATTTTGTCAGCTGGAATTTGAACGGCGCTACCGGACACCGGTTGTTATTGTTTTGCCTGTGACTCGTAGTTTCTTGCATTTTTTTTGTCCTTCAATCTCTCAATCTCATCTATTACTTAAAGATCATGTTTTCTTTGTTGGAGGTTCGCAATACATCTCAAAGTCACAACACGTAGAACACAGCGTTCTGGCGTTCGTTTAGACACCTCCAGGTGTTAAGGGACAGTGGTTTAGGTTTGTGTGGCGAACGACAATCACCCAACGACCGATGCTAACAAAAAGCAATATTATGATTATATAACTTTTGAGATGTTTTTAATTCAGTAATTTTTTTAATATTCTTCTAAAATTTAAACACTATATTTCCCTAAAAATTAAATAATACCGGTCTTATGTATTCCCGTATTAAACCTGTAGTCAATTCATGTTCCAGGACCACTTCGTTTAGCCGTGCAATAACAGCCACTATACCATTGATTGCATATGCAAATGTTGTGTTTGGACCAATTAAATCAATGGATTAACACCATAAATATACTGGTATAATATAATACGTAATATCGCAACTATTGGAATATAACCTTACTTGGTCCACTGGCACTTTTGGAAGTTCAATTGTTAATTTTGAAACGTGTTTTTCAAAAAAGTGGGTAAGACTGAGGAGTCCTATTGTAGAAGGTGGAAGGAGCTTTTTAACACTGATAGAATTAAATGCAGGTTTTTCTTATTGCTATGGACCTCTTTCATGCCTGAGTCTTGTTGAAACTATCCAAAACATCTCTGTCACACATTTTCACGTCTGCTTCAGATATTGCCTGACATCATTCTCTTTTCCTGTAATTCCCACAATCTCATTACCCTCATTAACGGCACATCTTTCTGAGTCTCTCGGAGGATCTTTAGAATTTGATGTAGCTAGATTAATCATCGGCCAGTATACAATGTAATTTTATACATCTTTGCGAGAGTTTTTCTGTATGGCTGTAGAGCATGGCAAAATATTGGATTGCGACTAGATATATTGGACACAGTTTATGAGACATTGTTTCTTGGTTTTATAATTTAAATTGACAAAACTTATAACTTTTGTGATCAATAATTCAACACAGACATATTTGAATTTTAGCATTAACAATTATAATTATTAGTGTAATTATAGTTTATTGGAGACTAATATAGTTTATTAGTTTATTTCTTGAATGATGTAGTGTTTTACTGGTAAGTTAGTGCAAAAAGGTGAGAACCGATTGCATTACCAATATAAAAGTTGTGAAAAAAGTTACAGGTCAAGGTGATAGTGGCGATATTCGACAAGAGAAGTGCTTGATCTGAGTAAACAATTTCAGTCGTGCAGAATCGCTAATGTATCCGGCAACTTGTTGTTATTTGATTCAGCTGTATAACCTAAACTAAGTCCCATGATATGGTGAGCTGAACTTTGTATCCAGCAAATTGTTGTTATCTGATTCAGCTAAGTGTATAACCTGAACTAAGATAAGTCCCATGATATAGTGAGCTGAACTTTCTGTGCTGTGTAATTCGAGCATCGACATCACTACTACTTTAACACACATGGATTCTCGCGCTCAGATTATACAATTTGCGAGACTGTTAGTGGACGACGTCGAACTATCGTGCATGTCATATCATAGTAGTGAGTCAAATAGATCGTTAATAGTTACAGCAATGGAGGTTTGCCCCCAAAATGTGACAAACAACGGCAAACTGTTCATATGTTCTATATTGTGGAGCAACACTGCAAACAGTAATAATATTCTCGAGAAATCTGCTCACCAACCTCACGCAACCTTTCTAGGGGGTCCGGGGGCATGCTCCCCCTCAACAATTTTGAAATCTACACCCTCTGAAACGCTAACTCCTGCATTTTAGGGGAAAATGTTGCTGACACAATGGCTTTCAGCTCGATTTTGGATGGGGTCAACATTTTTTTGAGGTGCGACCGCCCCCTTTTCCCCGTTCTCTGTCACTGCACTGGCTAACTGATTGATGCATGACGAATTCTGATTTATCTTTTCATGACTATTATATCAATAAACTTTGCTGAGTGTTATACCATAATAATTCAGTTTATTACTGTGCTGTTATTAATTTGCATATTCTGGCATTTGTATTACATCAGGGCTTGAAATCTTTTATGAAAACTCACCAGCCCAGGACTAGTCACTAAGATAATCAACTAGCCCTGACTAAGTAATCACTAGCCCTCAATATTATTGTCATGAATTTTTATTACTATGACACAGTGTACATACAGTATTGTATTTTTTAATGTGCATTTGGTATTTACTTATGAATCTAACTTTGCAGAACTGTCCAATAATATGTTTATCAATTTGATTATCCGTATTTACTTTATTTTATGTCCAAAAATGTGTTTCTTGCGAATACTGCTCTCTAGCCGTCGGGTTATGCTACTATCGGGATTGAAGTCCCTCAGTGCAGGCCCTTCAAGCATGATCATTAACTGATTGCGTAGAGACTCCTGTGTCAGTGAAGTTCTTAGCTGAGTTTTAACGATGTTCTGCTTTAAGAAAGCTCTCTCACAGCTGGCTGTACTGGGTGACACATCCATTACAAATTCTAGCATAGTTTCAGCATATCAGTCAGATAAGGAGGCTTTGTTTGCAACATCAAGCTATATATAAGTTTTGCTGTACGCCATTGTCTGCAATGTACCTTCAGTGCAGGCCACTGATGAAAAATTCTATCTCTCCCACCTTCTGAAAAATAAATGTGCAGGTAATCCATAAGTAGTTGTGTAAGCTCATCATTGTCATATGCAGCTAGAAGATGGTTATCTATTGGCCACTTCTGAAAGTTAAATATCATCATGAGAAGTGAAATTGGCTTTTCCTCCAATATTTCAAACCGTTTTTTAATGTATTTTATTGTGTTGTCAACTAATTTGTCTATGTATGTTGCATCCAATGCACTACTTGGTTGCCTTCCCTGTGACCTGTGAAGTTTAATGTTACCAAACATCAGTGTTTCATCATTGAAATTGTCATTGAAGTCATTCATATTCTTGCCAGGATATGCTTTTATTGCATTCAATGCCAGGTAAGTCTCTTCTAGTATGTCTGTCTTAAATAGATTTGCTAATATAGGTAAGTAATTGAGCAGGAAATGGAGCAGTCTTACAAACTTGATTACAGCGATAGTTCTGTAGTAGCCCTTTGCACGGCTTGAATTATCAGTACTGGAATTTTTATCTGTACTAGCATGTTCCAGGTGAGTCACAACTGGCCTCATAATTGTTCTTGATAGCTTTTACTGCTCGCTCCTTACTAGATAGCCAGCGTACTTGCTTCACTCCGCTTATGTGAGACAGATCATGTTCCAAACCACCAGAGATGTCCTTCAGCTCTCTTCTTCTTTTAGGTGAGTAGTGGTAAAACATGAAGAGTCTTTTCAGGGTTTCTTCAAACTTACCCATGACAGCCAGATTATCTTTGTTAGCATCTAGAACTGCTAGCTCTAATTTATGAGCAATGCACTGTAAGGATACCAGGGCAGGATTTATGTCAGTTAATTTTTTTGTAACACCATTTTTATTACCAACATTCAATGAAGCACCATCAAAATTAGCCATTACCAAGCTTCGCTTAATTTCCTCATTATCAGGCTTGAGTTTTTCAAAACTAAGTCCAACCTGTGATAACCCACTATCCAAAGTTTGCAAAAGACCATCAGAATTTGCTGCTTCTAGTGGTACAGTATCAACTTGTCTACATACTGGCATGCTATCAGTGGGATTCACATATTTCAGAAAAAAACAATCTCCTGCTCTATCTCAGCTGCATTAGTTGACCCATCACCAATAATGCTAAGAAAGTTAACTTCCAGTATCTCATCTTGCATAATTTTCTTCTGACATTCAACAATAGCTTTAAACATTTTAAAGCTGGCTATATTTCTAATTTTCTTCTATTTGCAGGCCATTTAGCTCCTGAACTTCACACATCATTTCAAAGTCAGAAAATGGTTTTACCCTTTTTCGCATAAGCAGTCCTAAATAACTTTCTCCCTCTATTCGGCATTTAATGTTGATACTGCCTTGCCTATAGGGGTTTCTGTCAACAGGTTTGGGCACATGTTAGCCTGTTTTATTTTCTGCAACTTGTTTTGCCCAAACATAACGAAAATAGCGACGAGTACATGCCATGTTTTCTTGTGTTTTTTCATATGATTTCAATGGATCCAACCTGAAGTTTGTTGTCCCTTTAAATAGCGGACTGCTTTTATCGGCCAAATCAGGGTATGGCTTACAACAAATGCAAAACATGTCAGCATCTTTATGACTTATCTACGAGCGTTCATCAGATCATGCCGGAATGAAATAACATTTCATTTTGTGTCTGTCATATTTTTGGTCACGCGTTAGCGTTACCGTATCTCCACAACTTTCACCTGATGACGTTGACGTAGGAGTTGGCAGTGCGGCCATCGACGGTTGAGGCTCTTTGGAGTTTTTGTCATACTCTAAATGTTGTCCTACAACTGCTGAGGCCACTTCAGTCTGCATACCAAACCCTGGTTTGTCATTTTAACCAAACTATAAGACAAGCCAATACAACCGACTACAAACCATCTTCAATATTGAACTACTGTAAGGATGTGAAAACATACTGGACTAGCTTGACTGTTCAGTTTGCCTGGAGCGCAAAAGCCAGGTCGTTGACCTAAGTTCATCATCTAAGCCATGACATAACTGAAACCAACAGCTTGTTTTCCTTCGTACTCAGGAACATAAGCCCATGTGCAGGGGATTGGGATGGCTTTCCTCGATTTACTTAAACACATTATCAATAGATAACA